CGGTGGGTGGGTGGATGGGTGGATGGATAGGTGGATGGGTGGATGGATAGGTGGATGGGTGGGTGGGTGGTTAAAGGAAGAAGGGAAGGGAAGGGGAGGGAAGGGGAGGGGGCATTTCAAGGTGAAGACATGAGGCTGGAGGTGTGAGCCTGGTGGGCCCTAAGGGCCTGATTGTCTAAGTTTAAAGCTCACGTGAGTTTACCATCCATGAATGTCCATGGCCTCGTGACCCCTGGAAGCCACATTTTACCTGAACTGATGCAGAGAGATACCAAGCACAAGACTAGGACCGTAGATGGACCCGATAAATGTCCACTGATTCCAAGTGCAGTGTGGCAGCTCATGCAATCCAAGTGTGAACACAAGGCAATAGAAGCAAGAAGGAAGAACCATCCAGCTCTGCCCAGAGGGGACAGGACTATTCACAAAGCAGGCAAAGCTGACAGGGCCTTGAAGGGCATGGAAAGTGACTTCCTATACCACACACCAACAGTCTTGGGAATCCATCACAGGCCTGAAGACCTTTCTCAAATTCACCTCTGTCTCTGGCTTTCATATTGGGTGGTGATGTGTCTGTGTAGTACCATGCTGGACTCACTCTCTACGGGTATGTAGCAGAAACCATTCCTCTGCCCCCAGCAACCTTCTGCCTGGCCAACAGAACCTCAGTCTGAGTCACCACTGGTTGAAGGCAGCCATAGCTATTGCATTAACCTTTGCCAGACACTTGTTTTCCCAGGATTCCTTGCTGCTATGGATGGCCATGTGGTCCAATTCTGATCAACACTCTTATCAATTAGATAGAAAAGTTAGGTGGGACTAGGTTTCTAGAGCATTTGTGTTTCTTGATTGATACAATGATCCCTGAAAAGGATCCTCTGTCATTCTACCTTCCCATCCCTGCTACCTTTCTACTTTGAATACAGTTGTGACTTCTGGAAATGTGGCAGCCCCTTGGCAGATGTGAGGCAACCCATAGAAGACTCAATGACTTACCTGAGGAGAGAAAATGCCTGGTAACCCAATGAGACTGTGAGTGAGTCTTCAACTTGAGACTTTTTACCTCCAACTTCCTGTTTTGTGACATAAACATCCCATAGCTTAGGCTACTATGAATCAGGTCTTGTTACTTGCAGTCAAATAAATCCTCAATTATATAGAGGCTTCCAAAATGAGGACAATTTTCCTTCTCACTGCAGTTATGAAGCTCTGACAACCACCACACGAAGATGGCAGATAGGGCTCCCCCAGCCCTGGCCCATAAAACCTTCTCCCCCTGGCCTTTTCTTCCCCACAACGACCTGCTCCTGACTGGAAGGAGAAATGTGCTGCTCTACTCTCATGGCCCCAGACGTCACCCACTGCCTCACGGCCCTTCCATCTGGCCAGACCTTGCTCACGGAGGTGCACGGAGGCCGGGCCGGTTGGGGAAGCTGAACTCGTCAAAGCCCAGAGTCAGACTCCCCTTGGCAACTGCGAAGCTAAGCTGTCACCAGCCCTGTCAACAGTGCAGAAAGAGCTGTCTACTGCCAGACCTCAGGAGTCACAGTCTAAACATCCTGCAGTCCCTCCCGGCAGGTCTGACCCGGCCCGGGCTCAGGGAGAGGGCTTCCCACCCAGCACCACTTCAGCACAACAGCCTCTGGGCTCTGGGCTGGCTGATCTCAGGCTGCCCAAGTGGCCGTGTTATTGGCGACCGTGATTCATTCCATCTGGACGGTGTGCAGAGGGGTGCTGAGGACCAGACGCCAAGCAGGCCGGCCCGGTTGAGCGCTGCCTGGCTGTACACCATGCAGTGTCCCCAACCCTGGCGCGACGTCTCCGCCTCCGGGTGCCCCTGCCTGAACAGGCAAACCTCAGAGCACATAGCCCACTGCTCTACCCAGCCGGGTTTGCCGGGTGCTGAGGGAGAAGAGGGAAGAGAAGATGGTTCGTTTTCAGGGATAAACGTGAGCTGTGCACCAGACTCGTTCCCCTTTGTTTGAAACTTCCACTTGTTCCTAGCATCATTTCTGTTCTGTGCTAGGCCACGGTGAGGAGGAATGTTCCCTTGGAGTGAGGAAATCCCCAAGTGTGCTTGCTGGCACACTTCTGGGAAAGCCCACTCCCTCCCGATTCCTTGCAAGTGTGACAGTGTCGCGTGACTTCCTTCCGGAAGTCTGCCCTGCATCCTTCAACAGTGCTGTCCTCGTCAGTCCAGTGACACTTGCTGCTGCCACCAGGGGGGCAGTCCTGTCACTCTGAGCGAATGGCAGGTCTCTGAGAGAAGGGTCTAGCTCACGTCATGAAGGTCAGAGAATCCTCTGGCATGGAGTAGGCACCTGAAGAGATGTATGGGGTAAATGAAGTGGAGGAAGAGACCCTCCATACCCTCCTGCACTGGGCCTGCAACCCCCACAGAGGGGCTCAGTGTCCTGTCAGTGTGGGCCATGACCGACTCCATACCTCCAGGACATGGTCCAATTCCCCATCAAAAGGGCTCTCACTTCCTGCCGACCTCCGAGCGGCCTGTGGAGCAGAGCCTGGGTGCTCCATTTCCATGACCCCCCGAAAGGCCTTGAGTGAGGGCTTTAGGGGCCCTGGGGACAGGCGGGCTCCCTGCAGAGCCCTGAGCGAGGTGCAGGCGGGAGTCGGTGCACATTGGAGTGGAAGGCGCCTGGGGGTGCACTGGCCCATGGCACGGGAGGGTAAAGCTTCAACAATCTGTCCTACACCCCACGAGACACTGCAGGGGTCACGTCTGCGGGGACCCTGCACGGTGCCACCCGAGGGTCCTCAGGGAGCTGCCTCGGCGTCAGGGGAGGAAGGGACGCGGCTCTCTGCTGAGGTCACCAAGCAGAGCAAGGGCAGCCAGCGACAGGCCGACAGGAATGCTGGGAAGAGGACGCCACGGAGCCGGCCGGTGTGAGGGCCCGGCCTGCCTGCTCCTTGGCTGTGTAGCCCATGCTGAGCCCTCCCACAGCGCTGGGGTCCTCATCAGTGACAGAGAGAAGCAGACCCCAGTGGCACGGCTTGCTGTGGAGAGCCGGCGGAGCGTTGCCCGCAGCAAGTGGCCCACCAGGCGTCTCACGCTGATCACAAGTCCGTTTCCCTTCCTAGGAAAGGCGCATGGCTCCCCTGCTCGCCTGCAGCCCACTCTTGTGGCCGGGAATCCCCGGTTCCGTCTTCCAAAGCCCGCGACACCACCTGCTCTACCTGATGCCGCCTCTCACACCCCACGCACCGCTTCTCCCTGAATTCAGAGCCTCAGCGCCCACCTGGGGCCCCCAGAACTTGGATTCTGGTGATTCCAAGATCCAGGCCAGCTCTGAGGAGTTTACAGAGTCCAGCCCCCATCTGACAACTGGCAGCCCTTGTGGGGCTCCGGGACTGTCCCCCGGCTCCCTGGGCGGCTGCTTCCTGCATACAAAGCCCTCGTCAGGACTTCGGGTCCCCGGCTCAGACGCCTAGCGCAGACAGTGCCTGGGAAAGCATGTGATGTCCACTGGTGTCCGGGAAGCAGCCAGGATCCTTCCCCGTGCGAGAAATGCTGCCCGCGTCAGACCAACGCGCATGGACACCGCTCACTGCAGTAGACCAGCGCAAGTGTGCTAGGGAACCCGAGAAGCACTTTGCTCACACAGTGCAGGGGGCTGGGAATCGGGGCGTAACCTCCCCAACCCATTCCAGGGTCCAAGCAGCACAGGATCAATTCGTGTCCCTAGGTCCCCAGTAAAGGGAAGAGGGGACTTGGGCAGCGCCCCCGGCCACTTGTCGCCGGGGCCGTC